TTTTAATGGTTTGGGGTGGGAGGTCCTTATTCAGTTCTCTACTCATTAACTGTGAGGTGTGTGCCTCAGTTTCCCTACTGGTGAGACAATGTCTCAAGGGGCTGTGAGTTGAGATTTTTGGAAGTGAGCCTGAGCTGGAAGAAGTGGGGGATGCCATTGGCTGTAGCGTTAAGGTGTGGGAAGTAGGGGGTTCCCCCATTCCCATGCTGCAGTGGGAATTCACTGAGTCAGGACCAGGTTGGAATTCCCTCTGTGGCCCTAGCATTGCCTTGCAGGCACTGAACTGCACTTGGATTCATGGAAAACTGCAGCTGAACCTGCTACCCACCCCCTAGTGGAGACTGGTTACAATGTATCGTGCCCACAGATGAGGAAACCGAGGCTTAGAGAGGGAAGTGGCCTGCCTGGGGTGACTCCAGAAACCCTGGGTTTAATCTGGACATTCTTTGACCCCTCTGGAAAGCAATAATAAGGTTTGCTGAATTGGCTGGAGTCCAAAGGCTCCTGGGCCCTGGAAACCATTCAGGGGGCCCCACCTGCTCTGGAGCATTGGAGGTCTCCAGGGAAACAGGGCCTGGTGGGCTGCTCCCAATTCAGGCCCCATGACGCAGGTGAAGCCATGCTGTGGATCCTGTGTCTGGCACTCTGTGGCCTGCTGACCCGCACACGCGCTGACCCCGGGGCACTGCTGCGGCTGGGCATGGACATCATGAATCACGGTGAGCTGGCAGGCCTGGGTGTGGGGCTGGGGCCTGGACAGGGGGAGGTGGTAGGTATGAAGTGACTGCTCATATTTGCATGATATTGAGCATCCAATGATCCTCGTAATACACTTACAAGCAACATATTATTATTATTCCTGAGAAAATGGGGTGACTTGCCCAAGGTCCCCCCACAAGTTGGAACCACAGCTGGAAATCCCTCCTTCTTGTAGCCTCTCCTTGGCCTTGATGGCAGGGCTTGGTGGCCCCAAGTGGGCTGTGGGGATGACAGACATAAGCCAAGTCCCAGCTCAGCCAATAATTTGCTGTGTGACCTCAGGCATTTCACTTACCCTCTCTGTGTTTCTCTCTCTGTGTTGCTGTTTGCTCATCTGTAAATGTAACATGTAAATAAATGTAAAATAGGGTGACCAGTCTTTACCTGGCAGGATCAAATGAAATCGGAGATCAAAATTGCCTGGAGGCACTAGAGTAAAATTTATGTTACACCTTTGAGCTCTGTGATGTCAAGGGAAATGTAGTCACATCCAGGTGCAAAGGGCCAATGACAGTTCTATCGGCTCAGTATTTGTCCCCTTTCTGGGAATTAGCCTGAGGCCATTATGGAGGTGTTTCTGGCAGTGTTATTTGGGGTTGGGGCCTCCAGGCCTGGGGAATCAGAATGTCTTGGCTTCAGGCACAGGGTCTGCATTTTAACAAGATCCCAGAAGAGTTCCCTAATCATCCAGGTGTGAAAGTGACTTGGGATTCAAGGCCTCCATGATATGACCCCTGCGAACTGCCCCAGTTTCTCTGTCATGTCCCTCCCCACCCTCCAGCCGTGCTGTATGTCTCACTTTTTCCTCACCATGCCACTCTCCCCTCCTCCACCTTTGCACCTGCTCTGCCCTCTGCCCAGAGTAACCCCCTTTATTCTTTTGCTTCCTGGTAAAAATTCTTATTCCTCCCTCAAGGACCAACTAACATGTCACCTCCTCCAGGAAGCCTTCCCCAGCTCTTTTTTTTCCTGGCTAAAACCCCTCACGTGATTCCTCCAGCTGCCTGAACGTATTATGGCTTTCATCACTTGTTACTGCCATTGCTGGTGACTCTGTCCTCCCCATGAGGCTAGAAGAGGACAACGGCTGGGCATGACTCATCTCTGGGTCCTTGCATCACCCAGCTCAGGGTGCAGCACAGTGACTGTGGGGCATATAGTGGTGCCGCTTGTAAGTGGCCTGGGCCTGGGATACCTGAGACATTGGCCCAGGACAGGGAAGCAGTAAGGAGCCCAGCTGAGTGCCTCTCGGGACCCCGCCCCTTTCCAGAGGTCCAGAGTGCCATGGAGGAGAGTCACATACTGGAGAAGATGGCAGCGGAGGCCAGCAAGAAACGGCCCGGGGTGAAACCCATTAAGGGCATCACCAAGTGAGCAGGGGCGGGGCTTGGAGTGGGGGTGATGGCTTATCACAGGGGGTGGTGGAGAGTGTTGTGCCTGGACCTGAGAAGACAGATGGGAGAGCTAGTGCAGGGCATGGGACCTCTTCCCTGCCTTGTTGCTGACTTGCTCTGTGACCCTGGGAAGGTCACTGCTCCTGCCTGGGCCTCAGTCTCCTCCGTCATCCGCGGGGGACAATTTCTGCCCTGTTGTGAGCAGGGTCATTGGGAGGAGGGAGTGAGGCTGAAAAGTCAAACTCCAACTGCCTGCAGGCGGCAGGAGTTCACTGAATGCACGTGCAATTAAACAAAAAAATCCTCACATGGCAGCGCTAGAAAGATATCAACAATTATCTAATGACAGAGGAAAATTTGTTCCATGGCAAATGCCCTAGGGGGTTGATTGGTCGGGACTGCCTGGAACGAAGTACTGGGAAGGCACTCTGCACTGAGCAGGAAACGGGACTGTGATCCATTAGCAATGTCTGCCAAGAGCTCAGGATGGGCAGGTGAAAGTAGATGTGCTACGTTTCTGTTACCCTGGATCTCAGCCTGGTGGTTCCCAACCGGGGGTGATTTTGCCACCAAGGGACATTTGGCAATGTCTGAAGACATTTTTGGTTGTCATGACTCGTAGGGGTGAGGGTGGGGAGGTACATCTAGTGCCTCTAGTGGGTAGAAGCCGGGGATGCTGCTAAACATCCTCCAGTGCACAGGATGGCTCCCCACAACAAAAATATGTCCTGCCCCAAATGCCAATCGTGCCCCTGTTGGGAAACCCTGATCATAGCAAACCTTCCTGTTTCGCCAGTGGGGAAACTAAGGCCCACAGAAGGGAAGGGTGCAGCCCAAGGCCACTAAGTCAGCCAGGTGTCCCGACTCACACATGATGAGTGCTTTCTGTGCACAAATTTGCTCATGTGTTGTTCAGCCTTTTGTTTGTGTTTCACGATGGTCTCACGAGGTAGGCTTATCCCAATGACACGGGACGGGGGATTTCCCCGAGGCCTCCCAAGCAAGGTGGTTGAGGAGCGAGGTGAGGACCTGGCAAGGTCTCACCTGCCTGGTTCTCATTGCTGTGGATGTCTGTCCCCTCCCAGTATGAAGGTGAAGGATGTGCTACTACCTGTCATCAGCCTGAGCTTCACACCTGGAGTGGGCATCTTCCAGTGTGTATCCACCGGCATGACCATCACTGGCAAGAGGTGAGTGTGGCAGGTGAGGAGAGAAGGAGAATGGCTTCCTTGTTTTGCTCTTACACACACGTTTATTGAGTACCTACTGCATACTACCTGGGTGCTGTGGTCTGAGATGATGCAAACTTGGTTCCTACTTTTGGTGGGAACCAGTCCTGAGCATAGATGATCACAGATTAAATGATTAGTCTAGGACAGAGGAAGCATTGGCAGGGCAAGGGGATCAGAGATAATGACAGCTGGGCAGGGTTTTGAAGAATGTATAGGAGTTCACCCAAACAAGAAGGGAGAGGAAGGACTGGTTTTGTGATCTTGGGCATGTCCTATCCCCTTTTCAGTCTTGTGAGGGTGCCTCCCTGCCATCCTTCTCCCCTTCCAGAGCTGCTGAGAATGTGGGCAAAGAGGAGACAAGGTTAGTGGCTACAGTGGCAGAGATGCCCATGATGCTTGCCTGCCCTCTTCTCCAGCTTCATGGGTAAGAACATGGAGATCATCGTGGTCCTAAACATCACAGCCACCAACCGGCTTCTGCAGGATGAGGAGACGGGCCTCCCCAAGTTCAAGAGTGAGGGCTGTGAGGTCATCCTGGTCAGCGTGAAGACCAACCTGCCTAGCAAGTGAGGGGCTCTGTGGCTGGGGAGGAAGGCTGGGTCCACATGGTCACCCTGGCCCAGCTCCCCACTTCCTGAGCCATTGCACTTCCTTACCCATGTCCCTGTTTCTCCTGTGCCTAACTTCCTGCCACCCGTGACCCTGTCCCCATTCTCTGAGTTCAGCATGATGCCTAATGTTATCAACAAGTTCCTGGACAGCACTCTACACAAAGTTCTCCCTGGCCTGGTGAGTGCCCAGAGCACACTTCTAACCCTCATCCGCGGGAGTACTTAGACCAGGGCTGGCAGGTGCGTTTTATCTCAGGTGCTGACCTTGATTGACTGATGTTGGCTGGCGAGGATGCTGAGGCTGTGGCTCAGCGGGAGAGATTGTCTTGATCATTTAGTGATGTCTGCCATGAGCACAGGAGGAGGACATGGCAACCCACACATCACAGCTTGCCAACCCTGCCCAGATTTCCAGTCGCTGGGGAATGAATCCTCACTGATCTTGCAGGCTGTGGTCAGGAGATCTGAATTCTAGTCCAGACCCTGCCATGGACTTTCCGTGTGACTGTGGCCTCAGTTGCCCCTCCAGTCCCTGTCCCGCCAGGGCTCGTGGGACTCCCTGTGGAGTACCATTCGGCTGTGAGGAGTAAGGCCCTCCATGCAGGGGCTCCCTTAGCCTACTGCCTTCTCTGCTTCCAGATGTGTCCAGCCATTGATGCAGTCCTGGTGTACGTGAACAGGAAGTGGGCCAACCTGAATGGTGAGCAGCCCAGCCATGCCTTGCCCCCACATGGGGACATTAGGATGGGAAGGCTTTGATGCTCCGCTCCCCATTCAAGTGCTTGCTCCCAGCCCAGCTTCGGGACTAGAGGAGGTGTCGCTGCACCCCCCACTGTCCAGATGAGAAGCCCGAGTCCCTGAGGATCTCTGGGGTCCTTGCCTTTCAGCCCTTCATCCGCTGTTCTATCCATCACCCCCAGATCCCAGTGACAGCAGCCATTGTGGGCTCATCCTTGCACTCTGAATAGCAGCCCTGATAGTGGTAATACACCTTTTCTTTGCCAAGAGGATCTGCTTCCTCCATCATCTTGGGGTCCGCAGGCTCCCCAGTGTGGGGAGAGGAAAGCCCAAAGGAAGACAGGTTCATGTGTCTAGCAGTGTGGCCTGGGACAAGTCACTTCATTCTTCGGAGCCTCAGTTTGCTCATCTGAGAAAGAGAGTTGATAATCCTGACTGTGCCAGTCTGTGGTGAGAACTGAACTGTGACAAACCTTTGCAAGCTCTGTGCCTGCAGAATGATGGGAAAGGGCATGATTTTCCAGGTCAGGCACCATTGACTCCATTCTACAGATGAAAATACTGAGGCCCAAAGGTGCTAAGTAATTTGCCTTGGGTCACACAGAAGGCCAAGGTTCCTGGCACTCGGGTGGCAGCTGGCTGGAGCCGGCTTCTCTGGGCTGCCCCATGGTGGGCACCTTTCTGAGTGGAACCTCTTCTCTGCACAGCCCTCATGCCTGTGGGCCAGATGGGCAGTGTTAAGTATGTCCTGACATCCATACCGACCACCGCAGCCAGCTACATCCAAGTGGACTTCAGTGTAAGCACCAGGGGGTCACCAGGGGCCTGGTGGTGGGGGCTGTGGATGGTGGGAGGGTCCCTCAAACCCTTACGTACAAGGCCCACCATAAGAGTATGGTGACACTGGGGTCCTCTCCCTCTTTCTGCTCTCCCTTGAACCCCGAGTCCCTGAGCTGATTTCCAGGATTGCCGACTCCACATTCACACCTTCTCCCAAGGCTCTCTGCTTCTCCCAATGAGTGGCTCAGTTGCACCTCACCATTGTACAGATGGAAACACTGAGATCCAAGAAAAGGCAGGGCTTGGCTAGACTCCCAGTGTGAGTTGGTGGCAGTGTTGGATCCTTACCCAGGTCTCCAGAGCCCCAGGTGACAAGGTGAGATGCATCTTCCAGAAATGGGAAGAGAAATCCTGAGAAGTTATCTCCCTGCAAAGTGTTCCGTCAGCGTGGTTCTTACAGGCCCCACATTATTTTCCACTTACCTCTTTTTCTTCTGAGAATAAAACAAAACACCTCCTGTGTAAATAAGGGCTCACCCAGAGTCAGATTAGCTGTGTTTACTTAAGCAACCTTAGGAAGAACCACCAGTGGTTTAGTGACTGACTTCCTTATCCTCTCAGGCCTCGGTCTACCCATCTGCACCCTGGGAGGGTTGAGCCACTGTAGCCTGCTCTGGCTGTAACATCTGATGACTCGCTGGCTGAGGGCTGGTTTGAGTGCCATTAGTTTGAGGACTGAGATTCACCCCTGGCCACAGTCCCTCATGGCCAAGGCTGAGTGTCTTTCTTCCACTGTCCCACAGCCTGTGGTGCAGCAACAAGACGGCAACACCATTGAGCTTGCTGATGCCGGGGAGGCCCCTGAGTTCCCCGCGGACTCTGCTGAAGGCTCCTCACAGCTGCTGCTCTCAGCCGCCTTCCTCACAGCAGAGCTTGCCCTTCTGCAAAAGTCCTTCAATTTGAACATCCACGAAACAACAGTGAGCTGCCTAGTGCCACCCCCCATCTGCCTCTGCCCCCTGTAATGACAGTCCCTGTCTGGTGTGTCCATTCTGAAAATTATCCTGGACTGTGGGCAATGCTAGGACTAGGAGATGCCAGGACTGATTTAGGCTTCTATCATTAGTTCACCCCACCATCTACCATCTCTCTGCCCATATAACCACCATCTATTCATCCATCTATCCACTTGTCCATACAACCAGCTATTTATTCATCAACCTACAACTCTCATGCATTGGCCATTCATCTACCTTCCTTTTATCCAATCATCATACGCCCATCCGTCTATCTCCCTTCCATGTAGTCATGCCCTAAGCTCTATCCTTCCAGCTAGCATCCATCCATT